CGAGCGGGCCCGGCTGAGCGAAAACACCCGGCTGGCCACCCGCTACGCCGTGCGCATCTTCCGGGAGTACCTGAGCGAGAAGGCGCAGAGCCCGGACTTCGAGACCATGGACAAGGGGGCGCTGTGCCGCGTGCTGCGCTCCTTCTACGCCGAGGCCCGCTCCAAGAGCGGCCAGCTCTACAGCAAGTCGTCGCTCATCAGCATCCGCAGCTCGCTCAACCGCTACCTCAACGAGCCCCCGTACTGCCGCACGCTCGACCTCACCAAGGACCCCGAGCTGCGCAGCGCCAACCTGACGCTGGCCGCGGTCATCCGCAAGCTCGAGGAGCAGGGCGCCGGGCCGGTGGTGCAGAAGCAAGCCATCACGCGCGCCGACCTGCGCAAGCTCTACACCTCCAGCGTCTTCGGCACCAACACGCCCTTCGGGCTGCTCAACAAGGTCTGGTTCGAGACGTGCATGTACTTCTGCACGCGCGGCCGGGAGAACCAGCGCGAGCTGGAGGAGGACTCTTTCGGGCTGGCCATGGACGAGGACGGTCGCAAGTTCGTCTACTTCAAGTCCCTCGGGCCCTACCACAAGTCGCGCTCGTCGTCCTGGAGCAAGAAGCGCGCGGAGAGCAGCGACGAGGAGAACTTGCCTCGCATGTACGAGACGGGCACCGAGTTCTGTCCCTACGCCAGCTTCGTCAAGTACCTGTCCAAGCGCAATCCCCTGTGCAAGGCGTTCTTCCAGCGGCCCCGGGACCACTGCAGCGAGGGCGATGTGACCTGGTACGAGAACAAAGCCATCGGCAAGAACTTGCTGGGCACCAGGATGCAGATGCTGTCCAAGGCGGCCAAGCTGTCCAAGACCTACACCAACCACTGCATCGGTGCGGTCTCCATCGCCACCCTCAACAGCATCGCCGGCATTGGCACCAAGCTGGGCTCGCCGGCCCCGCAGGGCTGCTACTCGGAGGCTTTGAATGGGGCGGCTCGCCACCCCTCCCACCACCCCCCTATACCCAAAGACAGCCAGGTCGGGCCCGACGTGAAACCCGAGGCCGCGCCCAAGCGCGCCCTGTATGAGTCAGTGTTCGGGTCCGGGGAAATCTGCGGCCCCTCTTCCCCCAAAAGACTTTGTATTCGCCCCTCCGAGCCTGTGGATGCAGTGGTGGTGGTTTCCGTGAAACACGACCCCCTGCCTCTTCTTCCAGAAGCCAATGGACACAGAAGCACCAATTCTCCCACAGTAGTTTCACCTGCTATTGTTTCCCCTACCCAGGTAACCAAACCAACCTCTATGCATGAAATATTTCTCGGGTACCACTTCGGGACTAACTTGGGGGCAAATGTAGATCTGGGTTGGTGGGGAGAGTTTTTAAAAGTAGCCCAGATACTGCATCAAGTTTGATTTCACCTTTAAAAGCTTAACTCTCTTGTGTTTTCCTGGCAAGTTTCCGCCTAACCTTTACAGAGGAGTGGGGGCATGCTCTCTGACGAATCACTGCTGTGCAGTGATGCTAGAGACTTCAAAGTTTCGCAGAACAAAAGGATTAGCTCGCTCTTGCAGCTCCTCCTCATTAAAGGCGTGAGTTTTATGAGGTCAAGATTGTGTGGGACCGCTGTACGTATAAAGGAAGCAGCAGCTTAAACATATTCGAATAAAGTTACTGTCGAAGCGCTCCATAACATTTTTGCCATAACTTATGGAAGGCAGAAAAGCAGTTATAAATTATTAAAAGGAAACCAGGCCAATCCCACTTCCGGTAGCTTTTCCTTTTTTTTTTTTTTAAGAAAGGGGGCGGGGACTGGCGAGAATGGTAGTTGAGTACCAGTTCCCAACACACTGTGATGTGCAGTTGAATATAAAGTGATCTTTGGGGAGCAGTTTCTAGAAACTCGATTTGTGCAGTATTTGCCTGTTAAGGTTATTATTCCGATGGGAAGGTGCTCAGGGAAGCCAAGAGTGCGGTGTGAGATGCCTTGTTTGCAGTGCGCCCTGGGACGGACCTGTCTTTCTGTGAGGGCACCTGTGAAATGTGAAAGTCACTGCTGTGGGGCAGACAAGAGAGGGAGCGATATAGGACAGTCACAGGGAGCCTGCTAGCCCAGATGCTGAGCATGTTTGGGTAAATAAGTTCTAGGGGATGATGTGCACCCTGAAATTGCCTAATTCTAAAAAGTACCAACATCTAGATTGAGGCTAGGGCCTAAAGTGTTTGACACTTATTATTTTACCTTGAAGAATGCATTTGTGAATATTATTGCAGTCGTATTCATTTTGGGGAAAGACCCTTTCCTGGGGTGAATCAAGAATTTTCTGGGGACCCCCCCCATACTCTGCAAGCAGGAGTCACCTCAGAGGGCTTTACCTCTTTGACCTCCCTGCTGACAAACAGAAGTAGGAATTTTGGCCCTAAAGCTGGAGGGCAGTGCAGGACCTTAAAGGACAGATGTTAGGCACCTCTGTACTTTTTCCAAAGTGGAAATTCCAGTTCTGGACAAACTGACCCTTTCAAAGGTTTATAGTTAATCAGCAAGTCTCAAGGCCAACAGAGAAAAGAGCTGTGAACACAGAATATAAACAGCGCAGTCCTCTAAAATACACAAGACCTGTATGCTGTGTCTTTCGGTGCTTTTGGTATGCATAGTGCATTCTGACAAGTTGGTTTAGAATTTTAAGGATGAAGAGAAGAGTTTGGGTTTGCTTTTTCTTTGAAAGCAAAAGTAAATATTCACATTCTTCTGATACAGTAAAAACTCTTAAAGAACCTGGGTTAGAATCGTATCTTATTAATAAGAGTTAAAAGCCTAAGAAAGTTCATTAAAGGATGTATGCACTGGAATAATAATGGAATAATTTGTCTGGTGGCATCTGTCTGCTAGTTTCTCAATACTAGTATCATGTAGGATCATGACTTAAAGGTCCACAAAATATTTTAGGTACCCCTCCCCAATGGTTTTATTTTGCTCTAAGTTCAATTCCTTGGTCACAGGTGTTTTGTTTGCCTGAATGAGATAAGTCAGTTCTATAAAACGGTGTATAAGTGCCTGTCTGATGCTTATATGATTGTTATGGCTCTCAAACAAGATCTTAACTCTAGGTCTCTTTTAGTTAAAACACTACAAAAAATTGTTCTGCATGCACTTTTCTTTTTCTTTTTTTCAGTGCTGAGGACTGAGCCCAGGGCCTTGCATACACTGTACCACGGAGCTGAACCCTCCACCCTGTTTGCACATATTTAATAGTCAGCTTTTCACGTATGGTAAATATTATTTAAACCATCAAGTGACTTAGGGGAACCCTGTAG